CCTTATATACATTATAACTGAGCTATGCTGTTGGTGATAATAGACTGCAAGATGTTTGAGCACAGAACATAAAGTGTCATCTATAATCCAAATTTTTAACCGTAAATCGCCGTCAACAACATAATTTTCCTATTTGGTCCGTGGTAATCAAGAAAACTACCGGTAGACAAGGAACAAAGTAAAAGCGAAAAAGAAAAAGGTGCTTGAAACGACAATCAAAAACACTTTTCATATGTATATTTAAAGATAAAAAAAAGCAAATAAGAGATATACAGAAGAAAAAAGAGATAAAAAGAAAGAAAGAGTAGACCGGAGAAGCAGTTAAAAAGATAAAGACAGTAAAACAGATAAGCAAAAATGAAGAAGCAAAAAGAGAATATCATTCTTCTTCCTGCCTTTCTTTTTTTTAATTTCAATTCCAAAATTTAAATATTCAAAAATGGCAATGAAAAAAAGCAATACTTAAACTAAACAGTATCAGTATTCATCGCATACAGTGTGATGGTTTTTCCAACAAAAATGATCACTGTTTAATTTCTTCCCATTTTTTTTCTTCTTGTTTTTCTACTCTTTTATGAATCCCAAAATGTCATTGCAGATGCTCTATTTGCAGTTTGCTAATTGTTTGTGTGTGAGTGTGTGTGACATCTTTTGCAGTTTATAAGTTGGGTAGAAAAAGCTAGAATAGTTTGTTGATGCTAGCAATAAGTAGTGTTTTAAAACCAAAGTATGAAAACACCTAATCAGTGCTATCATTAACTATTGATTTATCAGTAAATTTAAGAAAAAAAAACTAAGTTCACAACTTATCATTGCAAAAAAAAGAAGCTTTTACAATGTTAATAAAATAAACAAATAAATAACTATTTATCGTGCTTGTTGTTTTTATATTCCAACAATTAATCAAACACATTAACAAATAGAAAGATAAAAGCTAAACAAAAAACTAGCTAATTATACCCCTTATTTTCCTACTCTTTTTTGTTTCTTCCTCATTGGTATATTTGCTAATACCGTAAAATAACAAGAGAAAAAACAACGACTTATTTAACAATCAATAAAAGAAAGAAAAAAAAAACAGCAAAAGAACTGTCGTTTATTGAATGTAATTAAAGAATAAAAATATAGAAAAAAAATGTTTTTAAAATCAAAATTATAGCAACAAATAAAATTCCTCACAATTTGAGTATCTGTACAATCGTAGGGTAAACCTCTCATACGGATTATCATGGCTCCACCTCGACTAACAAATCGAACTGCTTCTGAACTGGAACCTGAAATTAGCAATTTTTTTTTTTTTTTTTTTTT